TAGAGCTTCTCCATCTTTGGCTGCAGAGCACATAGTCAATCTGATTTCTGTGTTGACCGTCTGGTGCTGTCCATGTGTAGAGTCGTCTCTTGGGTTGTTGGAAAAGAGTGTTTGCTGTGACCATCGTATTCTCCTGATAAAATTCTACCAGCCTGTGCCCTGCTTCATTTTGTACTCCAAGGCCAAACTTGCCTGTTATTCTGGTTATCTTTTGGCTTCCTACTTTAACATTCCAATCTCCCACGATGATAAGGACATCATTTTTAGGAGTTAATTCTAGAAGGTGTTGTAGGCCTTCATAGAACCAGTCAACTTCAGCCTCTTCAGCACCAGTGGTTGGGGCATAGACTTGGACTATTGTGATGTTGAAGCATATTATTATCCTATTAAGAGGAGATAACACACATTCAATCTTCCCCTCCAGATGTTTTGGACTACATGCATGACCATTTTCCATGCTGGCTGGGGCTCATGGAAGCTATGATCCAGAACATCTGGAGGCAGCAAATATATGGAAGCTGATGTACACTTCCTTATTTTTCTCTTTTTCTTTTCTGCTAAGGAAAATGTAACCAGACCTGAATTACTTAAATAGCTAACAATAATTCCTGTCCAGGTATTTAGAGAGCTTCTAGTAATTCTGTTGACTGTCATTAAAAGTTGTAATTTTTAATTATGTAAACCAAAGTATGGTCACATGTTATCTACTAAGACAATAAAAATATTCATTTGGATCCAGACATGCCTTTCTGCAAAGCAAAGGGCTCCTTTGCATGCATATCTCTGCAAAGAAAGATAAGTCTCTCTGGGGAGAGATACAGGAAGAAGACATAAGTAATCCCATCAAGTGTATCTAGATTAATATAAACAGGAAAAGGAATAGAAAGAGCAGTGTTTGGAGTTTATTATCATCCACCCAATCAAGGAGAGGATAAATATGAAACTTTCAAAAAACAAGCTGTCAGTATTTATGGAGGCATGATGTCATCATTATGGAGGACTTCAATTTTCCTGGTATCTTGGTTTGAGTCAAACTCTGCCAAACATGTCCTCCCTAAGAAAACCCTAGCATGTACCACTGATAACTGATAGTCCTCCAGCAGAAAGTAGAAGTAGGAACAAGAGGTACAGCTTTACTCAACCTGTTCCTAACCTACAGGGAAGACATAGTGGACAAAGTAACAGCTACAGGAACTCTGGGGGAAAGTGATCATTCCTTACTTGAATTCTCAATAATAAAGAAAACTAAAACTAAAGGTTGCCATACATGTACCCTAAGAAGCCAACTTTAACAAATTCAAGGCAATGATAAACAAGTCCAATGGCAAGCGACTCTTTTTCCCACTGCACCACTTTTCACTCTGTTTCAGAGGTTCCCTCAATCCTTTGTAGCAGCTTTTGAAGATCACAGTTTTAAATTGAGGAAAATCTCCATTCTATCTCCTTCTGCCAATAGGAGCATCACATGAGCCCATAACATTCAAATACAGTATAAGAGTTCTAACTTTACTAAATTTTAATTTTATAACATTAAAATTATAATTTATACATTTATATCCCAATTTTCTTCCATATAAACTTGTACAAATACTGTTAAAAGTCTTTAAGCAAACGTAAGCCCGCATGCATTTTCTCCACCTATTATGAAAATATGTGTCTATATGCTGGCATCTGTCACCATTATTCCAGCATGTAGCAAAACTGCTAAAATATACATATATTTTAAAAATACTCACTTTGAAAGTGATAGTAGCTTTTGTACAATAAAATCCTATAGAAACAATGGGATCCTTAATTATTGGCAATTTCTGCTGATTTATTGCTGCTCCATCATCAGTTCCAACAGAATCTCCCTCTTCATCATCATTACCCACAATAGCAGGTACAAAAGACCAGGCCCAAGACACCCATCCTTGCTGTTGATCATCATCTTGTTGAACAAAAAATTCTGGAGAAATATATTGCATATCTTTACCTATTTCATCTTCTGAACCTTAAAAAATAAAGAAGTAGGGATAATTTTACTTACAGTGCAACAATAGCCACAGAACTAGAAACAAAAGTGAATTTACTCTCACATACAACAAACCTTTCAACTAATGTTATGGCACTCAGCACTATCTTTTAATCTGAGCATATGAAAGGTCTTTTCCAAAGAAGAATTAGGGTACAATGAATCATTGCCTCATACCTCTTTCTAAATAATCCTATAAAGTATGCTAGTAGCTTTCCTATTTTATTGTGAGGTAAGTGAAAAGTGGTGATTTTCCTCAGGTCATTCTATTATTTAAATACAAGTCGGCTGCTTTACACTGAGCCTCTCATATGTATGGAAGATTTTTGCTGTATGGCAAAATTAACAAAGAAAAAATAATTCAGAGGGGCCTCTATGTTAGCAAAATCAAAACAAATTAAAAAAACAAAGAGTTTTGTCACACCTTAAAGATTAAATAAATAGCCACAAGACTCTTTGGTGTAGCTCATCTAGTATTCTGCACTAGCTGTCATTAGTCCTGTGGATCTGCTGTTAAATAGTCCAGCAAAGATGTCCTCAGCATATATTGATGGTGAAGAACCATAAAGTTGGTTAGTATATTTTGTAATTAAGCTAAACTGTTTCTTAAATATTTACTTTAAATTATGTCCTACAATGAAGGATCTGTGATAATATTGCCACAATAATGAAAGATCTGCACTGACTGCAAAGTGTTTTCTACGTTCAATTCAAAGTTTTAGTTTTAACCTTAAATCTAAAAAGCTTAGGACCTGGCCATCTAAGGCACTATCTATCTCACTAGCAACCTGCAACATTCTTAAGATCAGCATTTTGAAGACAACTCTCACTTGCAGAGACCCTCTTTGCAAGATATGTATAAAAATGTTTCTCTGGAACATACTGCCTTTGAAATTACAATTTGTTCCCACTCTCACTGCGTTCAGGAAGGCAATCCAAACACATTCCTTTAACTTGCAATTTAAAATTGTTATGGATTTTAATGTAGTTTTTAAGTGTTTCAACTATCTTGTTGGACTTTATGTAAACAGCTTTATTTGGTCTTCAAAAGGAGGTATAGAAATACTATACTATATACCTCCTTTTAGAAATACTAGGGACTGCAGGTGGCGCAGTGGTTTAAACCGCTGTGCTACTGGGCTGGTAGATCGAAAGGTCGCTGGTTCGAATCTGCACAATGGAGTGAGTTCCCGTTGCTCCGTCCCAGCTCCTGCCAACCTTGCAGTTCGAAAGCATGCAAATGCAAGTAGATAAAAAGGTACCACTCTGGTGGGCAACTAACAGCGTTCCGTGCACTTCGGTGTTTAGTCATGCCAGCCACATGACCACGGAGACTGTCTGGGGACAAATGCTGGCTCCCTCGGCTAGGAAACGGAGATGAGCACCGCCCCCTAGAGTCAGGCATGACTGGACTTAATGTCAAGGGGAAACCTTTACCTTAATAGAAATACTAACAAATAAACAAACACACACGTGCACACGCACATAGATATTGGGGATCTTGCAACACCTTCAATATTTGAACAGCTAGCATATACACACCACTGTCAAATTGATTCTTATCTGGATGGTGAATTCCTTTTTGTTGAAGCCTATATATAATTACTAGAAAGTTTTATACATTCCATACAAATCAATGTGTGCATTTCAGTAATTTAGTGCATAGTAATATTAAACGTTCCACACAGTGCCATGTTGGTGACCCCTTCATATGTTCCAACAGAAGTGCCTGCAGGGAAGCTATGGAGACTGTGGACACCACACTGGGGACCCCTAATCAAGCCCAGTATTGTATTCTCTGACAGTTCTACTTTTCAAACTAGAGATCTTTGCCAGACTTAATGAAATCCTTCAGTTAACAATACCTAAGAAATCAAATCATATAGGCTAAAACTAGATTATGACCCATCTCATAGGGAGCAGAACAGGATTGGGGCCATTAGACATCCCTAACTGAACAAACCATATTAAGTGGGGCTGATTCACAGCTCTAGTTCACAATAAAGTAGAAGTAGGCAATAAATGCACATTTAGTTATTAATTATGGGGCTTTACAAAGAACAAATAAGAGATTAATCTATGATCAAAAACAAAAGTAGAATGACAATGTCATAACAGAATACACCACTCAATGTATTCTAATACGGAGTTAGAGCTTACCCCAATCTGAAGAAGGCAGATTTTAATCTCTAGAAAACTAGCAGAGAAGCTCTTAGTTGGTACTACAGTATTTACAAAATACCCTAATTTCCTTAACTATATATTTCTTTTGCAAATATCTGTCCTTTCAGAAAGAGAGCTGAGTCAGTCTTTTGTTATTCCTTGTTATTGTCTGTGTTTATTATCTGTTTAAAACTTTTAAATATTTTTTCTGATATTTTATTGTATTTTTACCATTTGTTTTTATGGACTGTGTAAACTGCCCAGAGATCTCACCTGTGGGGCACTACAGAAATGAAATAGATGATGATAGTTGTGACAAGTACAGGAAAATAATCTAAGGAACATTTGGATTTTTAAGGGGGAAGAAAATCCTCCTGTATTGATCCATGCAATTACCTACTTGATAAAGCTCAAAGAATTGTTTGAGAGTGCTCTATTACTGTGTAAACTTCTGAATGGATCAAAATATGAGATTACATAATAACCTAGAGTACCTGAAATTATTTGATTAAAGATAATTATTATCTTTTAATGCATAAGTAGGAAAGAAAATTTAGGAAATAAGACAAATCTGATTACTTATAAACCCTAAGAAGATACCTATGAAGTTGTAATTATGTGTTTAAATAATCCAATGTCGAACCAGAAATTGTCCAAGAACCACTAAAACAACTAGCTTAGAATTATTTACATTTAACCATAACATCTTCAATTATTTTAGGAGGCTATTCATGAACAATTTGTATTACCTGAGATATTACCCAAAACATCCTTGGTGTGACAAACCTGGTCTTCATTTTCTCCATCTTTAAAGGAGCCTATTTCTCCATAGTACAGTGAAATTCCAAGTTGCATTATACGAATAAACATAGGAAGTTGTTGATCAGTAATGGAAAGCTTCAGACTCTCAACTAAAGTATGAATCTGCAAGTAAAGAGAAGAACACAAGCACCAAAAATGGCTTAAATAGTAAACAGAGCAAATAATCAACTTCCTGGTTCATCTACCCCAGTGGTTTTTCAAACTTTCCACAGCTGGGGACCATCAAAAACAGGAAAAATGCCCGGGGGACCACTGAGGCAGAAACAAAAAGCACTATACACATAATACAGTATTCTCTGTGTTAGTTTCCAAACAAGAAAGAAAGACAGACGGACAGACGGACGGACGGACTCTCTGAAACAACCAGAGAAACCGAGCAACAAAAAATGCCAGCGAAAGAATAAAAATGATGAAATTGGCACAGTGTGGCTCCCTGCTGGCTCTCACTGAGTCATCTCTTCCCTCCTTGGCCACCCCCCGGAAACATCGATGCACTCCCCCCCCCCATGAACAAGGAAGAGGTCTGCAGCAAGTGGGATGTGGCCCCCCACAGACTGGCAGGAAATCTCCCAGGGAGTGGTACCAGTCCATGGACTGGTGGTTGAAAAACACTGCCGTATACCAGCCCCCAAAACTTAATCACCATCAATACTCACTTGAAGTTCAGATTTTTTGCCCAATACTTATTTATTTAAGTATTTTTTGCCCAATACATACTGCCCATTGACACATCCCCCTTCTTTCTTATTTACATAAGAACATATGACACTGCCAGGTGAAGTTTTGAAGAAATCACATCATACTTTGAAGCTCTGTGGAATAATGTCAAGAACTCTGTCTCCCCCGTCCTTCCAGTCTTTGGAAGCAGAATAAAATAGGAAAGAAAAATATTCCAGGTGAATTCCTGGCTACACAGGTGGTGCCAATGTGAGAAATTTGGATCTGGGATGACAGCTTCTACTACCTTGAACATGCACCTTACAAGGAATGGAAAGACTTTATTTAGCCACAGCATGAAGGAATGTACCAGGAGGGCTTTAAACTGAATCCAACAGAGAAGGGAGACAAACTTCTGCACTCAAATACAGGGGAATGTGCTTAGTAGTCCCATTGAGACCATTTGGATCAACAAAAAATGGAACAAGAAATAAAAAGAAAATGGTGGTTGAAGTCAATTAACAACCACATAGTCAAACAGAAGAGAAGGATGAAACTTTGGAAAGCAAATTGCTAATATTTCAAGGAAGCATAATATAGTAGTTATGGAGGATGTCAATTTCCCCAATATTTCATGGGAGAGAAATTCTGCCAAACATGGCCCCCTCCAAGAAATTCCTGCCTTGTGTTGCTGATAACTTCCTCTTACAGCAAGTAGAAGTAACTAGAGGAACAGCTATCCTCAACTTGCTTCTAACCAACAGAAAAGACCTAGTGGATGAAATGACAGTTACAGGAAATGTGTGGGAAAGTGACCGCGCCATACTTGAATTCTTGATTCTAAAGGAAGAAAGTGTAACCAAGTACATACCCTAGATTTTTAGGAAAGCCAATTTTAATAAATGTTGATCAGTAAAATCCCATGGAAAGTGACTCTTATAAGAAAAGGAGTCCAAGATGGATGAGATTTTTTTAAAAAAAAGAAAATTCCAAAGATGCAATTACAAACAATTCCATCAAAGAAAAAGGGTACAAGACAACAGAAGAAGCAAACGTAGCTTCACAAAAAGCTTAGAGATAATCTAAGAGGACAGGATAGAAAGTGGAAGGAGGCAAAGCTATTAAGAAACAGTATAGGCAGTTAGCAGAGAATTGCAAGGATGGTATCAGAAAGGCTAAAACTGAGAATGAACTGAGGTTAGCAAGGAATGCAAAAAGGCCTTCTTCAGATATGTTCATAGTAAAAGACAGAGGAAAGACATGGCAGTTCAGCTACTCAATCTGGATAGCGAACAAATATGAAAGAATGGTAACAGGAGACAATAGGCACAAGTACTTAATTCCTACTTTGGCTGAGTCTTCTCCCAAAATTGGATCTATGACCTCCTTAATAAAGGAGAAGTACAAGCTGAAGAAGCAGGTTGGCAGCTCAAGATTGACAGGCAAATGGTCAAAGCTCGCCTAATTAGTTTAAACAAGTTTAGATCTCCAGGGCTTGAACTGCATTCTAGAGGAATAAAGGAACCGGCAGGATAACTCTTAGAACCACTATTTATTATCTTTCAGAAATCATGGAGGATGGAGAAAGTGTCAGTTGACTGAAGAAGAACTAATGTTGTCCCCATCTTCAAGAAGGGAAAAAAGGAAGAACCTGGGAACTACAGGCTAGTCGGACTGACATCTAACCCTGGGAAGATTCTGGAACAGATTATATAGCATGCAGCTTGCAAACATCATGAAAACAATGCAATGATTACTAGAAGCCAACACAGATTTTTCCAAGAACAAATCCTGTCAGACTAATCCGATCTCTCCTCTCCCTCCCCCCTGCTTTGAGATTCATTAGCCTCTCTGGTGGACTGTGGGAGTGCTGTGGACATAATATATCTTGACTTTAGGCAAAGGTTTTGACAAAGTGCCCCACTGTATCCTGATTAGCAAACTAGGTAAAAGTGGGCTAGATGGAACAACTATCAGGTGGATCCACAGTTGGCTACAGAATCGGACTCAAGGTGTGCTCATCGATGGCACCTTCTCAAACTGGGGAGAGGTGACAAGTGAGTGCCACAGGGTTCATTTCTGGATCCAGTACTCTTCAACATTTCTATTCATGACTTGGCAGAGGAAGTACAGGAAACAATTATCAGATTGCAGATGACACAAGACTGGGTAGGACAGTTAATACCCTGGAAGATAGCAACAAGATTCAAGATGATCATGACAGGCTGGAATGCTGAGTTGAAAACAACAAAACGTATTTCAATAGGGACAAATGCCAAATTCTGCACCTAGGAAAAAGAAATCAAATGGATCATTACTAAATACTTGGCTCAAAAATACCGCAACTGAGAAAGATCTTGGAATTAATGTAGATCACAAGCTGAATATGAATCAACAATATTTTATTTTTATTTATTTATTTATTTTATTAAAACATTTTTATGCCGCCCCATTCGCCGAATCAGGGTTGTCTTTCAAGAATGCCTTTCAACTTCAGATCCAAGTCTATATGGAAACCCTAACAACAATGGGCATGATCCGGACAAAACAGAACTTTTTTGTTCAAATAATTCTAACGGAAAAAAATAAACATGTCTTTAATTCTCTGCCACTTACATAAAGGAGGTATCTAACAACTTTAGGATTAGCTGGACTATGGCCAGTAAATGCAGTAATTTACATAGCTCATCTTTAAGATGAAGTTTACACAAAATTTCTGAAAAAACTATAGTTATTCTATTGGATAGAAATCATCACATCAAAATATCAATGCTTTGGTAAAACAATATTTCTTTGAATACATATATTTTTTTAAAAAATTACACATTTGATGGCAATGGAGTTGTTTGGCAAATTGTGGGTTTTTTAGAACAATTTCCTGTGGTATGTGCTGGGTATGTTTCACAGCCTTTGTGAATATTGAAAACCCCCACTACTAATCACAGGTTAACTGTAGATTATTTAACTCACAATTAACCTATACTGACCAGGTTCAAATATCACACACCAACCTCCAATCAGCCCATTTAGAGTTCAATATTTAAAATGGATGAGGATTGCATCAAGCACATGTCACAGTAAGTCATGGGTCAATTAAGCCATGATCTGCTTGTAATACATTGAACTAGGTCAATTTGTTAGAAAGGAAAACATAAGTGCTTAAACATACTAGTTTGAACTGCAAAGAAAACTGAGATCTGCCCTAAGAAATGTGAACCACAAAGAAACAGATCATCTTCTTTGAAGGCACTGGGTGCCTTCCCAAATATAGCTGATTTTAAAGTTGATTACCTATATACTTGGCAAAATTCCATTTAATCTTATGCACACAAATCTGAAAGAATTCAAAGGAAGATAAAGGTTTAGCAATATAAGAATTATTTAATACATATTTCAACAACTTTCTAAAATAAATACTAGAACTAACTCTACCTATAAATTTAACTTGACATGTGTGCATGACTGAGATTAAACAGATTACAAACTAGAATTTGTTCTTTTATTTGTTCTTTTATAATAAACAATCTGATCCACACCCCTATTGAGCCATCATTCTTGAGTTTCAAAAGAATTTCTGACAGTAATACAGAGGAAACTGTTTAAGAAATTAGTGAAACATTGTGAAGAGAGAAAATGAGCAATGTGCTCCAGACTGCTGTGCTATTTTATCAACAAGAAAATGGAGTTAACACAATAGAAAAAATGAACACTGAACAATGACATACTTATCATGACATCAAATAATAATGTAAATAATGTTAGAGTGACAGAGTATTTGGCTTATGAAAACAGATTAGAATTAAGTGTTGTTAGTGATTTTAAGTGTTTTAAGACTGTAATCCAATGTACACTTTGTCTCCAATTAAGCACCACCATCCATAATGGGGGAGGGGGTACTTCTGAACAAACAAACAGTAAGAGACAAATTATAATTTTGAGCAATATTAAAACAGTACATCAATTTTATAAAAGGATATTCAGGAGAAATGTGATGGTTTTGTGGCAGACAAAGCAATGAGCAGTCAAGCTACTGATAAATATACGTTTTAATTATGCCAACAGTAATCCATGTTCTCTAGCATACATGTTATGGCAATCCAGAATCCATTTAAACCATATCTATAAGTAATTAAGGAAAAGAAAGCACAGACTTCATTATTACAACTACAGATCCAAGTGACACTTGTGAAGACTATGTCAATGTTTCCATTATACACAGTCAGAAGTTTGTGATTCTGCCATAAAAGTTTCCTCTCTGCTAAAACTTGGCATAGAAACTGATGAACAGGCCCATAGTTGAATTTCATTCCTCAATCAAAAACAACTTAGCAATTTGTAAGTTTAAAAAGGGAAGAAAGGCAAGGTTTAAGATTTTACTTAAATATAACTACGTAATACCAAAGAAAAATACCATAAGTCAAAACTTATCTTAATCATGATTCTGT